GAGGCCGTTCTGGGAGTCTGTGGGTGTCCAGCTCGATGTGCGGAAGACCCAGCTGCGCTGTGAAATCCTCTGCTTCCGAGATGTCATGTAGTGTGTAGGTCCTGTCATTTTTGCAGACCATTAATTTTAAGTGGTGTCCCCATGTGTATCTGAGCCGTTGTTGTGTGAGTGCTTGGGTCAGGGGCTTTCCTCTTCACCAGGGTGCTGGGGGCCAGGTCTTGATAAAGTTGGACATGGTGGCCTTCAATTTGAATAGGGGTGTCCCTTGTGGCCGGCATCAGCACTTCCTTCACGTTGAAATTGTGTAGACGGACAATCATGTCTCTAGGCTTGGTATTCGTGGGCGATGGAACTCGGAGGACCCTGAGTGCCCTGTCTATGATGAGCTCATCCGGGGGTGCTTCGGGTAGCATATCGCAGAACTTTTCCCGGAGTGCGGAGTTCAGCATGTCTGGTGTAACGGTTTCTGGGAGCCCCCTGATTCTCACATTGACTCTACGTGACCTATTGTTCAAATCTTCTTGCGCACCCTCAAGGGCTCGTACCTGATCACGGAGTTCCTGTAAGGCCCTGTCGTGCGTGGCAGTGGAGATGTCCTCCATTTTTGTCTTCCACTGTAAGGGTGCATCTGGTCAGATCTTCCAGGACTTCTCCGACAGGGGCCATGTGTTTGGCTAACTCCGTCGCCATGTTTGATTTGATGTCGCGTAGTAGCTCTTTCAGGCCCCCTCTGGTCACTGGGTTGAGGTCGTGTGGGTTTTTCTCTATTTCGCTGGCCTCAGAATCCGATTCCTGCTGGTCCCCAGCACGTTTTAGGCCCTTGTCTGAGCGGCTGCGGAATATCGGCGCTACCACGGAACTGTTTCTCATTTTTTTTCCCCATCATGTAGGTTGGTGTGCTCTCGGGGAGACAGGAGGGCTAGCCTGGAGTAGATTTGTTAGGCGGTTCGTGCTTTTGTTAGCTCTTGTTGTGCCCGATAGTAGGGAGCTCAATCAATGTGCTGCCCCCCCACCCCACCTTAAACGTTTTTAAAATATTTTATTTGACATTTTTCAGGAAGCAGGGGACTCCAGTCATTACAGGCACTCCCCCTGCTGGCAATGCTTATGACGGCTATCTACCTCACGATCACATGGTACAGGAGTGCCGGAACAGGAGCAGGGGGATTCCCTGGGTTTCTAGGAGAGTCCCTCTACCGCGATCGCCAGAGTTTAGAGCCGGGTCCCCAAGGACAGCATAACACACCCGCTGTCCTTAAAGGGACACTATAGTCATTAGAACAACTACAGTTTATAGGATGTGTTCTGGTGAGTAGAATCATTCCCTTCAGGCTCTTTGCTGTAAACACTGTCTTTTCAGAGAAAATGCAGTGTTTACATTACAGCCTAGTGATAACTTCACTGGCTACTTCTTAGATGGCTACTAGAGATCTTTCCTGGGTCGTTGCTGCCTACAATGCATCACAACATTCAGTGTCTCCACCCTCTGCATGCAGACACTGAACTTTCCTCATAGAGATTCATTGATTCAATTCATCTCTATGAACAGATGCTGATTGGCCAGGACGGTGTATGAATTGTGCTGGCTCTGCCCCTGATCTGCCTCCTTGACAGTGTCAGCCAATCCTATCGTGAAGCATTGTGATTAGCTCTGGCCACCAGTTGTGATGATGTTAGCAGACAGGGGCAGATCAGAGCCAGAGCTAGCAGCTCCAGACTTAAATACAAGTAAGATTTTACTATATTTAGGGAGGCAAGAGGGGCTAGATGGTGGTTTTAACACTATAGGGTCAGGAATACATGTTTGTGTTCTTGATTTTATAGTGTTCCTTTAACTTTATATCAGGAAGGCATTTTAGACATTACAACACTTCCAGTTTCTTCTGTTTAGATGATTCACAAGATTTGGGATTATGTACAGACATGTAGATGTGTATATAACCTGGCACATATGAATATTTTATATATATATAACCTTCTTGTGTGTTTACTCACTATTATTCTAGTTTATTTTCCCTATGTATGTAAACATGTATTTTTGCTTTTGGATTCACCACTGAATAATTTTTATGGATTACTCCTATAATCACATTGTGCATATGAACAATACAAACTGGAGATTTCCACATTGATAACTGATGGTGGAACGCATGGTACAAACTACAAAGGAAATCGGAAAAGATGTTGGAGTGCACTGTCGCGTTCCAAGAACGACCCAGAAGGCGCGTGACGACTTCATGATGCACCGCAGACAGATGGAACGCATTGTGTGTTTCAAGGACGGATCAGAAAGCGCGTGATGACACCACTGCACGCCGGAGACGAATGGAACGCATTGTGCATTCCGCCGGCGGAAAAAGCCCGGGAAATCGAATTAAACAGGGTATTTTAAGACCATCAACCCAGACTTGTATTATTCTACTTTCCCCCACTGAGGAAGCCAAGATAAAGGTGAAACGCATTTTGGGACTATTTGCTTTTACACTCAATTGTGTATTTTAATTTCTGTTTTTATAACATTCATTCAATAGATTTATTAAGTGTTCTTGCATAGCAAGACCACTTAATGTTATCTCACATATATTATTATTATTATTATTAAGTGTTCTTGCATAGCAAGACCACTTAATGTTATCTCACATATATATTATTATTAAGTGTTCTTGCATAGCAAGACCACTTAACCCCTTAGCGACCGAGGACGGTTCAGGACCGTCATCGGCATTTTTGCCTTGAGGACCGATGACGGTCCTGAACCGTCCTAACGGTCTGGGGGTACTTACCTGATCGCCGTCGTTCCCCCGGCGGCGATCAGCGTTGCTCCGGTTTTGGGGAGACTGCCTGCAGCCCAGACAGTCTCCCCACACTGAATTAGGACCCCTGTGGCCATGTGATCGCTTAACACAGCGATCACATGGTCACAATAGGTGTCCATAGTATTGCCTGCAGGGGGACTGCCTGTGCTGACAGGCAGTCTCCCTGCATGTGTAAAATCAGTAAAAAAAAATAAAGTTAATGTTAATAAAAAAAAATTAAAAAATTATATATGTGTATAAATATGATATATAGACATATATTATATCTATATAATATATGTCTATCTATCATATATATAATGTCATACTAAGTGTATTTTTATATTAATATGTACTTATATTAATATAAAAATACACTTATAATTAAATTACGCACGTATATATATAATATATATAATAACTATATATATTGTATATATATTATTATAAAATATAAATAATAAGTATTTTAAATTAAATTAAATTTTTTTAAAATAATAATAAAAAAATAAAAAAAAATTATATATCTATATGAAATTTTATTCTAACTGTATTTTAAAATTAATATATATATATTTATATCAAAATACACTTAGAATGAATTTGTATATATATCTATGTATATAAAAATAAATAAAAATAATAAGAAATATACATATGTCCATATACAAAATTACATAAATAATTATATAAATATACACGTAGACTTCAAATATATAAATATGCATATATATTTAAATTCTACGTGCGTATTTATGTAATATTTTTACATAATTCAAGTAATTTTATTGATTGCAATTTGAGGGACCTGCCTGCCAACCCAGGCCGAAATTCCAGAGAATTTAATTTGCTAGCACTGTATTTTACCCTGTAACGTTCTACGACACCCTAAAACCTGTACATGGGGGGTACTGTTTTACTCGGGAGACTTCGCTGAACACAAATATTAGTGATTCAAAACAGTAAAACATATCACAGCGATGATATTGTCAGTGAAAATGAAGTTTTTTGCATTTTTCACACTCAAACAGCAGTTTTACTGATGATATAATTGTTGTGATACGTTTTCCAGTTTTTAAACACTAATATTTGTGTTCCGCTATGTCTCCCGAGTAAAACAGTACCCCCCATGTACAGGTTTTATAGCATTTTTGAAAGTTACAAGGTCAAATATATGGGTCAAATATTTTTACATTGAAAATGGCCAGGTTGGTTACGTTGCCTTTGAGGCGATATGGTAGCCCAGGAATGAAATTACCCCATGATGGCAGACCATTTGCAAAAGAGACAGCTAAGGTATTGCAAATGGGGTATGTCAGTCTTTTTTAGTAACCACTTGGTCGCAAACACTGTAGCCAAAATTAGCGTTCAATTTAGTTTTTACTTTTTCACACACAAGCAAAATATGAATGCTTACTTTGGCCAGTGTTTTCGACTAAGTGGCTACTAAAAAAGACTGGACATACCCCATATTGAATACCCTGGGTTGTCTACTTTAAAAAAAATATGTACATGTGGGGTGTTATTCAGAGATTTATGACAGATAATAATGTTACAATGTCACTATTGATAAATTAAAAAAATTTATGTTTTGAAACCGCAATATTCTACTTGTACCTATAGCCCTATAACATGCAAAAAAAAGCAAAAAAGCATGTAAACACGGGGTATTTTTAAACTCAGGACAAAATTTTGAATCTATTTAGCAGTTTTTTTAATTCGCTTTTGTAGATGAGTAAAAAGATTTTTCAAGTAAAAGTCAAAAAACATGTATTT